AATCTCCTGGCAACTTATTCGTGTTAGAATTCCAATTTTGATTACACATTCTTTTTTTTTCAAAACCTTGTATATGATATAAATATACCTCAAATAGAAATATACCCAAGCAAATGAGAACTACCCAACGGCACCCAGGGGGAAGCATATACAGGTAGTCCTCGACTTACGACCACCATGGAGACCAAAATTTCTGCTGCTAAGTGAGGCAGTTGTTAAGTGAGCTTTGCACCCCCTTTTTATGACCTTTCTTGCCATGGTTGTTAAGTTAATCAGTGCAGCTGTTAAGTTAGTAACACGGTTGTTAGATTCCCCATTGACTTTGCTTGTTGGAAGGTTGCAAAAGTCATCACATGACCCCAGGACACTGCAACCGTCATAAATATGAGTCCGTTGCCATGATCACGGGACCATGGGGATGCTGCAACAGTTATGAGTGTGAAAAATGGCCATAAGTCACTATGTTCAGTGCCGTTGCAATTTTGAACAGTCACTAAATGTTGCAAGTCGAGGACTATTTATTTATTTATTTATTTATTTATTGGTTCGATTTATATGCCACCCTTCTCCGGAGACTCAGGGCGGCTTACAATGCGTTAAGCAATAACCTTCATACTTTTGTATATACCTGCTTAGTAGGACTTTCGCCCCCCCCCCAAGCGGTGTTCTTTTTTATACAAAGTCAGCTTATTGCCCCCACAATCCGGGTCCTCATTTTACCTACCTCGAAAGGATGGAAGGCTGAGTCAACCTTGAGCCTGGTGAAATTTGAACTTGCAGTAATTGCAGGCAGCTGGTGCTACTTAACAGCACTTTAGTCTGCTGCGCCACCAAGGCTCTTCTACCTGTACTGTTCCTTTAGAAAGCCACCTGGAAGCATGACAGCAGATGAAATGCTGAGAAGAAAACAACTTTTAAGGATAACTTCATAAAGAAAGCTTTAACTTCATCTTATCATCAGTAAAATCAGCATCAAGGTGAGATGGGAACAGGGATCACACTTCATCTCACTGAGAATTGATCAGTGCAATCCTAAAATGTCCAGTGGGCTATCTTTTTCCATTCAGTGTGCAGTTGAAGCCAGTGTATCAGGGGTGAAATGTTACCGGTTCGGACTGGTTCGGCTGAACCGGTAAGGATGGCGGCGGGTGGTTCGGAGAACTGGTAGCGATGGCGGTGCGAGTTTCTGCCCACCCGTCCGGTCGTCGTTACTTCCTGGTTTTAACCAGGAAATAACCTGTTTTTTTACCCTCTGCACATGCGCAGAAGGGTTTGCGCATGCGCAGAGGGTCCACGCGTGCATATGATGCATCCATGTGCGTGAGTTGAGCGAGCGAGCGCCCATGCGGTGCGTGCACTTCCGAACCAGTAAGGAAGGTAAGTAGATTTCACCCCTGCAGTGTATGAGTATACTATGATGATCATGCCATACGACATGATCCACTTCGACAGCATTGAAATTTATTGAACACTTTGCGAGATGAAAGGAGACAAACACTTTACCCTCAAAATCTAGGTTGATAGCTATAAATAGAAGGAAGGGCTCACCCTATGAATCAAACCTTGAAGGACCTAAAGGGATAAAACAGTCTTGGAGTTTTATTGCTGTGTTGACTAACTCACTTCTGAAACTTCTCATCCGTTATGGTCTTGGATATCTAAGGATAACATACACTGGGATATGATCTGTTTTTTAATCTATTCATAAAACTACTAAAACAAAATTTGAGGTGCAAGAATGTATTTATATCATAAACCTAAGTCAGGTTTATGTTTAAGTTTAGCAATGCCTTTTGGCAATGTCATAAAAAAACACATGGAAAGTTTCTGTTGGATGCTCTTAACACATCCAGAGCTTCCAAAATTGTAGTTCTAGATAAAGACTATAATTCCGTGGTTTTTGCTGAATTGGAAATATACCCCTCCATGATAAATGTATATGTAAGCATAGCATTACAAAATGTAGTAAATAATTTTGGATTAAAATTGTCCATAAAATATTTTGCTTAAAAAAAATCATTTGAGCCAATCCACATATACCAATCATTGTCCCACATAGAGATTCTCTCTCTCTTTCATATTCCCGCCTTTCATCAGAATCAGCAAATGAATGGATGGATGAATAAATAAATAAATGAGGGGGGCAAGACCAGGATAGACATACCGTGTTTCCCCAAAAATAAGACGGGGTCTTATTTTTTTTTAACCCCGAAATAAGGGCTTGGCGGGGGTCTTATTATTTCAGGGGTGCAGGAGGCCCTGGGCAGCCTGCGCACTCACAGCCAGGAATCCGGCAGAGAGGCTCCCTTCACATGCCATCAAGCCCCTCCCCTCCTATGCACCTACCATCTGGAATGAGCTCCCCCCGGAGATACGGAGGATCCCAGATCTGCGCTCCTTCCGCCATGCTGTGAAGACCTTTTTATTCCATCAGGCGGGCTTGGCCTAATTTCTTCCCTTTTTAAATATGTAAATTTTAATCTGTTTTTAAATTATTGGGGTGTTTTAATCTGTCTGGGCCAAAATGATTTAATTTGATTTTATCTGGTTTTTAAATTTTTTGTATTTATGTATTTTATTGTTGGCTGTTCACCGCCCTGAGTCCTTCGGGAGTAGAGCGGTATACAAATCAAATAAACCTAAACCTAAACCTAACCTAAACCTGTGGGATATGTGTGTAGAACGAGAGTGGCCCGAAGGCACCAAGCTGCGTGTCTGTCCCTGCCCCCCACTCACGCGCCTCCCAGGTCTTACCATGTCAATGTGGGCTAAGCCGGTGAGCACCAGTGCCTTGAGGAACTTGTAGCCAATGCCGCTGGCACCCACCACCAGCACCCGCACGGAAGCCACGGCCTGGGCCAGCTCTCCCTGCAGGGTCAAGCTTCAGCTTCACCATAGAGTGGGAAGCACACTCCCAGAGTGGCCATTATCCTGCCTGGGGTTTGGAAGCCGCAGAGGTAGAGTTTGGGGGACAGAAAGAAAGACTTCTGCTGCTTTCCTTGCATGCAGACAAAGCAGAAGCAGCAGAAGTCTTTCTTTCTCTACCCCAAACTCTACCTCTGCGGCTTACAAACCCCAGCCAGGGCAGTGGCCGGTCTGGGAGTGTGCTTCCCACTCTATAGTGATGGTCGCCAGAGGCCTCCCCTTCCCCTCTGCTCCTCTCCACTCCAATCGCTTGACCACTGACTGACCGGAGCACCCGCTTTTCCCTTCTGGAAAGCCCCTCCGCCTTGGGAGTCACCAGATTGGATGGTGATCAGGCCAGACTCTTCCTGGGGAAGGGAGCGTTGCGGGACCCTTGGCCTCCCACCCTTCCTCCTGCAAGTCCAGTTTACTCTTTCCAGGCACCCGGCAGCGAGACGCTGGGAAGCCGCGCCAAGGGCAGCCCCGACAGACACAGCTCGGCTGGCCCAGCCATGGCCAATGCTCTTTGCCCGTGGCTGAGCTTGGCTGCAGAGGACTGCTGGGCCTCCATAGGCGGCAGCAGAAGCAACACCTGCACCACCTCAGCCATCCCGAGACCTGCAACTGCTGTTGTAGTCCGTGACTACCTGCTGCGCATAGAGGCTCCTCTGCTGCTGGTGGCTGCCCTGCCAAGGAAGCCCGAAGGCAGTGATGCTTACGCTGGGGCTGCTGTGGCAGGTGCTCTGTAGCGCAGGCTATGCAGATGCCTGAGCATGGGGGTGAGTGTAGGCGGGCCACCACCATGGTGCAGGAACAGGAGCAGGCGCTCGAAGTCTATGGTTGATGCTGCGGGCGGCAAAAGGGGCGGGAGGCACAGGAATTCACAGGGATGTGGCTGCCTTGGGAATGTTGGGGGGGGGGGTTGAGGGACCTCTGTGTGTGAGAGAGGGAGGGTTATTTTCAGGGGAGGGCATATATTTAGGCCCACCCCAAAAATCAGGGTTGGCCTTATTTTTGGGACATGTCCTATTTTTGGGAAAACACGGTAGGTAGCTAAAAGGTAGCTGAGAAAGGAGGAGAGAAAAATGGGCACATGGGTACACACATAGAATTGTGGTGGTGAAGTGGTTAGAATGCAGTATTGCAGGCTGACTCTGCTCACTGCTAGGAGTTCAATCCTGACCGATTCAAGGTTGACTCAGCCTTCCATCCTTCCAAGGTTGGTAAAATGAGGACCCAGATTGTTGGGGTGCAATATGATGATTCTGTAACCCGCTTAGAGAGCACAATGAAGCAGTACATAAGTCTAAGTGCTATTGCTCTCTTAGACAAAATATGTCTTTTCTTGAGGTTATGTTACAGCATGGAGGGCAGTCATGTGAACCTGGGAAAAGCTGCAGCTACTTTAAGGAGTTTCTGGCAGCTGCCATGTGAGTATCCAACACCTTTAGAAGCCTTTCGTTGTTGTTTCTTTGAAATCTGATGCAACATACAACTCTATTAAATATGAATAATCTTCAAATATTTTTATGCTCTTCAGCACCAATATTTTAACCGTTTATACTTCACATTTATTTATTTTTGGTTTTTTTAACAGCAAAGTTTGTTCTTTTCAGCTGATGTAAGATAATTGCGTATACCCACGCCATTCATGCCTGGGAAGGAATCTTGTGTTTTTATAGGCTGAATAAAGAAGTAAGAGGGGTCTCTGGAACTGTTATGGGGTCTTTGGTGCTTTCTGAGCTTTGTTGTTTTCCTGCAAGCAGCAAGGACCCCACAGTTCAACCCTGAAATACAAATATTCTCTTCTAAGAATAAGAGTCCCCCCCTCCCCACAACAGTGATTTGTTGAACAAGTCAGAATGGTATGGCTCACATGCCACCCTAAGTTAACAACCAAACACACTGTGGTTTACAGCCACATGCAAAGCGGGTCACTACAGCTGTAGTATAGGAAGAAAGACATATTAATGGAAACCATATGCTGAAACCATATCTGGCACTAACATCTACAAAGTTGCCAAACAATTCACTTCATATAATCACACAATGTTTTTGTTTAATAAACTCATTCAGGAAAAAAAAAAAAACTCTGGAATGGGAAATACCTTTTAATATACATCATATGTTCTTAGAGTAAGTTGAAAAAGCAATAACATCTGTTTGCTGGTTTCATACTGTATCACACAAAAGAAGGAAAAACTAGAAAAAAATCTTTTCTTACAAGTTACTTATGTTTAATGCTTAAAAGTTTGAATGCACAAACAATAACCTACCATTATAGAAGTACTTGTGGTCAATACAATGTATTAGAACTATGTACAATGACACAGTTTAGTATCAAAATCTTTCTACACTGTAGAGTATTACGAAACTGTTAATGACATCAAACACTGAGCACTTAACACATTATTATTATTATTAATATTATTATTTGCTACCACATTTGGAACTTCAATGAACAGTCCATTTTAACTTGCAGCATTAACCCATTTCTAGTATGAAATTAAGTAATTTTCTACTTACACAATAAAGGTTTATCTACACAGTTCTTTTGATTTTGATCCATAGCAGCAAAGGCACTGTACATCAGCAGATCCACAGACTTAAAAGGGGTTTTTTTTTTTTAAAAGCATTCAAAAGGAATATGTCACAGATCATAGTTTAACAGCAACAACAACAACATAAAAAGATAACACATGGTTTCTGGCACAATGGCTCAGCCTGCGTCCATTTCAGAGACTTTCAACTAAGACTTGGATAGAACTGGCGGTAAATAAAGCAAGTCCTTCTCCGAGTGAAAAATCCATTTTGTTCTGCACTTCAGAATGAGTGCTCTTCTAAATTCTAACTCTGAGGTCCTCACTTTTATAGTTTGTATTTGTGTCGGAATCCATTCCCTTCTCAGTGCCATCTCCAATGAATGTATCAAATATTTTTTTCTGTAATCTTTAGAACTGCAAAATTGCCCAAAGGCGTGTATCTTTCTTTTCAAAGAAATGTAGCAAAAACATCCAGAAAGAATGAAGATGATCTTTGAGACACATTATTGTACTTCTCTCTGAAATATACAAAATAAAAGTGATATTAAAAATTCTGACCAATGCATTCTACTTAAATGTCTCAAAGTATAGCCATTATATACTCTACAGGGGGTTGACAAAACACTGTCAAATGGCTGCTTAAAATAACTTGTTAAGAGTATAGTTGGTTTTGGCATGTATTTTCACAATTTCTTGTATTTAATTTTCCCTTAGAAATATGAACTTACTGAATTTGCTCAAAATATGGGGTCCACAAAAACATGCATGATCCCACATGCCTCTGCATGTGGTTGCCTCTCATAACAGAGCATATCCTCAAAACAATATTATTATTTTTAAGCAGGTCTTGAGGAAATACTCATTTGAATCAGAAATGGATATTATCTGAACTACCTAAATGATTTGTAAAACATCATAAGAATATTTAGTTTGTATACCAAGCCACCAGAGAAAACATGAGTCACTGACAACTCAGGCTAAAATAACAAGAAAGTGGTCTTATTAAATAAAACTTGCAGATGAGTAGAGGCTATAGAACACGGGTGTCAAACGCGCCGCATCACGTTCCCATCACCTGAAGTTTTGCGACATTTTTCCCATTCGCAGAGCTGGGATGGGCGTGGCCTGCATATGATGCATCTGGCCCACGGGCCGCCAGTTTGACACCCCTTCTATAGAACATGGTAAAATAGGATTTCACTCCTTTCTAATTTTTGATGGATACATATTTTGCAAGAAAGAGAAAGAGAGAGACTACAATGCAATATAGATTGATAAAATGTATAGATTTGTTGTCCATTATTGTTTTTAGACATAAACCTCAAGTACAGTTTGGTAATTGTAATTATGGCAATCTTCCCTGACCTGAGTTCCTTCCAGATGTGTAAACTTTAGGAAAAAGCAGTGGCTGGGAATTTGGGAAGTTGAAAGTCAACTCAACTGGATAGTGTCCAAGTTGCATAAGACTCTGCTCTGGGAATAAATCTGGCTAAGCCTTGGATTTACAAGCTTCCTTTTATTCTAGAGCAACTTCAAGGAGATCATAAATTATTCTTGGTCATTGGCTGTATTGGTTGAGATAGTTGTTAACATCCAAAACAGCTGAATAGCCTGAGGAAAGCTAATTTAGGAGAAATAAACACAAGACTATCAACTATGATTTGAACTACGTTTTTTTTTTTTATAAATCCCACTCAATATTAACCAGTTTGTCTCAGTAGACATAAGCAGCCATATTTTATTTATAATGAATATGAATGCTTTTCATTTCATTGCAATACACTACAGAAAAAGCCTGTGGTTTTCGGAAGGTTTATACAAGCAACACTTAATAATAGATTAGTGTTATTTCTAGACAAATCCATAGTCTGGGAGGTGGGCCTATCATTACTGAAATTTCTGTATCCTGTTCAGACATTATGACCATCCATATCTGAATGGCATGATAAGTAATGGAGGAAAGATCCTGTTTCTCTAGCATGTTTCATATTTCATATTTCTACAGGCTAATGTGAATTAGGTCATTGCCATTTGTAATACTGTATTCTTTTTAAACTACATGACTTAATGAAACTCTTGGCTTAAATAATATCTGCATAACTTATGCAGATATATATAATTCGCATGCACACACAGACATCATATTTTCCCTTTGCTTCCCAACAGTCACATACAACCCAACAACGTAAAAGTCATCAAGAATGCAACACACCTTCAAATCCAAGGCAGACGCTGACTACTTTGTTTAGTCAGTTCCTTGTTAGAAAGATTTCTTTAACAAAATAAATACATTACAGCTATATTACATAATTAAAAGAGTCAGTTCCCTGTTAAGTATGCTTATTCCATCTTCTTCCAAGTAGATAGCTGAAGATTTGGTTTTATATGTTCTTAATGAGTGCTTGCTATTAAATAGCAAGTCTAGTGGGAAAATTCCACAACCGTGTTGAACATTTTCATCCCTCAGATCGGGAAACGAGAAAAATAAAAGTAATATACAGCAAAGTGCTACTAGAAGGAGTACGGTTTTCATTCAGATTTGTCTCTAATAAATAACTTCATAGACTGTAGCCTTCTTGTCCCCAGAGCCAGTGACAATGTATTTGTCATCCACAGAGATATCACAGCTAAGTACAGAAGATGACTCTTTGGACTAAAACAAGAAGAGAAAGAAAAAGCATGTGTTAACCATTCTCTGCATAAATCAGATGAAATAGTAAATTAGTTCCTTTTAAGAAATAAAACAGTTACAGGATGGTTCAATTATACATTTCTGCTTCCTGTCTGGTATTATTCTCCAGTCTGTGCATCTTCAAACTTAATTGCAGTTAACTCTCCAGGCTTGAGAGAATAATAAGGTTGTACTTGGCATACATGTACTCTTCTCTAGAGATTAAAATCAACAAAACACACTTGTTACACAGTATTATTTTCTTTCTTGCAGCCTTGAAGAGTTTAAATAAAACAGAAGTGACCTAATGTGTATTCATAACCAATTGGGATAACCAGATGTCTAAAAGCAGCCCACAGAGGAGGCAGTTTGTGATAGAAAATGAATGGTTTGGTTTGCTTAAATACAGTTCAAAGCCTACTTTTAGCTGAAAAAAAAAATCAGTCAGATGCTCCATGCGGTGGAGAAAAAATTTGGAACCTAGCTTGAATTCAGGCTTCGCAGGGGGAACAATTAGGCCTCAGTGATCCTGTCAGCCAATTGTGGTTTTGCTGCCTGATTGTGGGAAACAGCCCTCAAACCAAATAGAGGCGTGGCATGAGAAAAATGCAAAAGGCAGACCGAGTGGGGTGAGAGGAAGGCTCAGGAAGGCCAGACTCGAGAGTAGCAAAACAAGTTCCTTGGGATCAAGAAAACAGATCCTTGGAATCAGGAAAACAGATCTTTGGGATCAAGAAAAGAGTGGGAAATATGCCCACACGTGCTTCCGAGACAAATGATTGAAGTCTCCATACTTGGTTTCAGAGTACTACCCAAAGCCACCAAAAGCACTTTTAAATTCTCCCTAGTGAGTCATATGCCTTGTTTCTCTTTCATTGCTTCTACTGTTTTGTTCAACATTGCACGGATTTCTCCTATTATAGCATTTATCCTTGTGGTTATCATACTGTTGTTATTGTGTGTACACGTGTTTACATGCACGCATGCCTACCACAAAAAGTTCTGATTGCTACAAAGATTCCATTTTGTAATAGGTGTGGAAGAAAAACCACTGTTATTTCTCTTTAATAGCAATTTCAGCAATGGGGTTGGAAATGGATTCAGCATAAAATGAAAGGCTTAAAAACAGCAAGGCTTTAAAATGTTATATAATGTTCTCAAAGGATGAATACTGCAACACTACTGAGAGCAGATTTGGTCAACGGATGTGCTTTGTAAAATCTACCACTGACAGAGTTTATACAGTACGGGCAATTATTATTTGACATAAGCTAAAATCAAATGAAGCACTTAAAACTCATGATATCAGTCCATCCCTGGGATTTGCCCAGAGAATATTCATATTATCTTCCTCCATTTCTCCTTCCTGAACTGCTCTGTGCTGGATCGTTAAGTCTACGTCGGGGGTATCCAACCTTGGCAAGCTTAAGTCCTGTGGACTTCAACTCCCAGAATTCTCCAGCCAGCATGACTGGCTGGGGAATTCTGGGAGTTGAAGTCCAGAGTTCTCAAAGTTGACATGGGTCTACATGATTTGGGGCTGAAGGGAGAGGGACCGGGTAATGATTTTTACCTGAAATATACTGGCTCCATAGGGTGTTCTCCATGCATTCAGAAGATTATCCTTTCCAGTGCTTACAAACCACTTGCCTGAAAACACATTTTATATTATAATTAGAGGAAATGGATTAATTCTACATCAGCAAAGCTCCACTTCTTATTTCCCTGTTTCCATTTGTTTTTTCTTCTGGTCAAAGCAATACATTGCACCGAACATTCAGTCACACATGCAAATTTAAACAGTATTTTTCCTTTTCTGTATCTATTAGAAATATATTGAGCAAATAGACGATAAAGCCAGCATTTACTAAATTGCTTACCACAATGGGCAAATTTAAGGGATAACACACAACTCTCGTGAAGATGGAGCTGATACTTGTCTGGTTTTGTGACATGCAACACTTCAACATTGCTGTTCTCCATCCCTACTGCCAACCATTCTCCAGTAGGGCAATAGCCCAGCGAGAAGATCTGAAATTATAAATGCACACAGATTATTATGACTTAGATATCTAGTGACATAATTATTGTTCTTTGAAAGACAAAAACCAAAAGAAAAGAAAAAATTGTCTACGGTTTTCTTTCAAAAGATCTATTGATCTATTGCAGTAGATCAATATAATAAGTTCCTATAACTAAAACCCAATTAATGCTGGGTAATATTAAATGCTATTGCTCAGAGGGACTGAAGTAATATTCTTAAAGAAATTATCTTGATGTAAATTCTACAGAAAGGATAATGATTATCTAGAGCAGCGGCGTCCAACCTTGACAACATTTAAGATTTTTGGACTTCAATTCCCAGAATTTCCCAGCTAGCATGACTGGCTTGATTCTGGGATCTGAAATCCATAATTTTAATGTTGCTAAGGTTGGACATCTCTGATCTAGAGGACTCATTCAGTCTGACAACTTGTGAATAAGACTCAATAACTTCTTGGGGATCAAGAAAGAACTATTATCTCCCCAAATCTACAATGTTAAAAAATTCTTCTTTTCATGGCCTAATCTAGAAAGCAAAACTGAAGAGAACAATGACTTCCATATGTCATGGGTTCTGTAGAAGAGTACCTGGGATGTGAAGTCGTGCTGCTGCAGTTGTCTCCCTTCCCTCAGGTCCCAGGATCTCACAGTATTGTCCAAGCCTCCCGTCCAGAGCTTAGTGCCATCATTAGAAATGTCAATGCAGCTGGCTCCATCTGTGTGGCCCTGGAATTGCCTAAAGATGCCAAGTTGGGAGACAATCACTTTGGAAAACTTTCTTCTGCTAAAATATTGCAAAAGCTTCCATGCCGATTTTAAAGAGCTCCTCCAAATAATAGAGAAAGCAAAGCAATGATTTTTTTAAAGGGGAGAAGGACATCTATTGAATTTTAAAATGCTGGAAGCACTTTTCTGAATTCTTGCAACTATTTGAAATTACAAAGGCAGTGAAAAGAGTGACTTACAACCAATCCTTGCATTTACGAGTGTCCCCATAGTCACATGATCAAATTTCAGGTTCTTGGCAACTAGCATGTATTTACAATGGTTGCAGCATCCCAGGCTCATGTGATTCCCCATTTGTAACCTTCCCATCTGACTTCTGATAAGCAAAAGTCATGGGCGAAGTCACATTTGCATCTCGAGCATATGATTTACTTAACAACTGTAGTGATTCATTTAACAGCCATGGCAAAAATTGTGAAATTAGACATGATTCAATAAGTGCCTAGCTTAGCAATGGAATTCTGGCCCCAAATATGCCCGCACGTGCTTCCGAGAGCCTTGGTAGTACAGTGGTCTAAAGCACCCTGTTATTAAGAACAGCTGCCTGCAATTACTGCAGGTTCGAATCTCGCCAAGGCTCAAGGTTGACTCAGCCTTCCATCCTTTCTAAGGTAGGTAAATTGAGGACCCAGTTGTGGGGGCAATAAGCTGACTTTGTATAAATATACAAAAAGAATGAAGGCTATTGCTTAGCGCATTGTAAGCTGCCCTGAGTCTCCGGAGAAGGGCGGCATATAAATCAAATTTTTTAAAAAATGTGGTCATAAGTAAAGTAAAACTATCTGTATAGATTAAGACTGCAAAGGAAAGGACATTTTCAAAAGCATAAATGCAATGGGGTTTGATATTTTTAAAGGCCCTTAGCAAGGATATGTGTTTTATTACAATATAAGGTTAACCTGCTACATTAACACATTTTTTAAAGTCTGGCATAGAGCAGCATGGAAATATCAGCAATAAACAAATTAATAAATAAAGGGTTACGTTTGGAGAAGAGTTCTGTATCATAAAAGCCCTCAATTCCAGTTTTTTAAATGCAAACTGTTTCAATAAAATAATGCCTCTTACTGTGATATTTATTCTGAAGAGATCTATGTACCGTATTTTTTGATGTATAAAATGCACTTCCCCCCCCCCCAAAAAAAAGTGGGTGGAAATGCCTGCCCACCCGCCGGCCCCCACCCTTCGGCCTCTGCCTCCCAGCAATTTGCCTCCTTGCAGCAAACAGCAAGGTCAACTTCAGCATCGCCTGATTTAGCACGAGCAGCTTATTGGCGGTTGGATCCGCCTCCCAGAATACCACCTATCAGCTGTTCCAGGCTGCAGGGATTGCCACCGCCCATCGCCACTGTAGCCCATAGCTGCCTCCGCCTATCACCATCTCTGTGTGCCCCATTTTCAGCCTCCGTATGCCCCATTTTCAGTTTCCGTGTGCCCCATTTTTGGCTTCTGCGTGTCCCATTTTCAGTCCGTTCCAAGCAGTGGGGATAGGCAGCGCCGGCGGCAATCCCTATCTCCTGGAATGGGCCAAAAATGGAATGCATGGAGGCCAAAAATGGGGTGCCCGGAGACAGAAAATGGTGCATGTGGAGGCCAAAAATGGGAAGCAGAGGTCAAAAATGGGGCACATAGAGGCACCGATAGTTGGCAGCGGCGATGGCTGGCACCGATCCCCACAGACTAGAACAGCTGATAGGCGGTATTCCGGGAGGCTGATCCAACTGCCAGTCAGCTGCTTGTGCTAAATCAGGCTGTGCTGAAGCTGACCAGGCTTGCTGTTTGCTGTAAGGAGGCAATTGCTGGGAGGCAGAGGCAGATTTTTTTTTTCTTGTTTTTCTCCCCAAAAACTAGGTGCATCTTATAGTCTGGAGCATCTTATATCCGAAAAATACAGTAATTCAAAGAATGTTCCAGTACATCCTGCATATGACCAATTGTTAACTCTATCATTTGTTGCCATCCATGTTGCTCGTCATGCCTAGGGCACAATTATCCTTACAGAGCCTCCATGGAGGCTGCCTAATATTGCCTGGTATTCCAGGATCCTAAAACAGAATGGGCATCTTGCTATGCAAAGACATCTACACAGAAAGGTTGAAAAGAAGAGGGAGATGGATGGAGTAAGCGTTTTTCTCTCTGCTTTCCTTCCACACAGTTGATCTGATAGGCTTTGTGAACATCTGAGCAGGACTTCAAAGTGGTTTTAATACAGAATATCCTCCATTTGGTTATGAGCTGATGACATCTCATGTTTTCACAGAGAATTATTCTTTAGATTCTGCACAGGCTATTCGTTTTCATTTAGTTTTCCTTTCCACTAGAGATAACTGCAAACCAATATATCTGTGAATTCCCAGCCTGGGGCTACTCATACTCTTATCTCTATTTAATTAGGTTTACTACCTGCCCTGCCCTCAGATCTCAGGAGCAAATTAAATTCAGACATAACATTTCTTTTCTCCCCCCCTCTGCCCCCAGGACTCATAATGAGACAAAGAAGAAACAACAAAGGCAAAGATGGATTTAAAAAAAAAAAAGAATAAAAACACAAATGACTGGTATACTAGTGACACTCTGGCAGGATCCCAAAATCATATCTACATGGTTATTACCATCTGCAAGCATATATTTTCTATTGCCATCTAGTTCTTCTTTATCCAGTTACAGAGACACCGTTTTATTTTAATCTCCCTACAATATCTACATATAATTGACATTCTAGTGGATGCCCTGAGGCATCCTATGAATTTGGAAAATCAATAGAGTCTTGCACGAATCAGAAATCTAGCTCTTCACTGCCAGCTGACAGGCAGGCAGGCAGGCAGGCAGTAAGACAGACACACACTCAAGCTCAGCTTAAGGTTGAAAGAGCGGCTAATGGTTTCTGTTGGGAAAACAGCACTTTGCTGATGAATTTCTTCCACGATGGAATGAAAAGGTTGCAAGGCACACAACAGGCCCTGTCATTCTTCCCTGTCTAAAAGACAGAACATCAAAGATGGGAGAAAGATTCTGAAAGGTAAGGCACAGTACTTCAAAACATGGCAACAGTTTCCTTTTACCAATGCTTTTTAATCTTGTTTGATCGACCTACCTGACCAGGGTCTGATTGTGTAGGTCCCATACTGCAATGTTCCCATCGCTACAGCAGGAAAAGCACACCTTGGAATCGGGGCTGATTGCTAGAGCATAGCAGGCAGGAGCCGAAGATGTCAACTCTGCTTTTATACGTGGAGTGGGCGCTGCCAGGTCCCAAATGGATAATGTGCTGGCTTCCCCACCAACTATCAGGGTGCGGCCATCGGGGAGTAATCTGCAGGAGCGGATGTAGTTATCCCTGTTCTGTAGACACAGAAAGCACCACCAAGAGATTACTCAGAAGAAAGAAAAGCAATAATAAAATGAAACTGAAATCTATAAAATTACGGTATTCCCTCTTGGTTTTAATGAGCTTGTGAACTATAGGAATGCAGGGCTAAAAAAATAATAATGAAACAATGCTTTGTTGTTCTTTAAGATGCAGCCATATTCTCAGCAAAGAGTTATCTTTGTAAAATATGTCCCTACGACTAATAAGTTCCAAAAATCTGAATGCTCCAGCAAGGGTGATCTGGTAAAATACAGATGGATCTCTTTCACAGAGGTTTCATGATCTGTAGATATATGCTGAATGACAAAAACACCACATCTAAGGGTAGGAGAAAGATTTGGTCCTAGAGTCCTGAGAAATAGCACGATCTCTCCCTCCCTCCCTCCCTCCCTCCCTCCCTCCCTCCCTCTCTCTCTCTCTCGCTTTTGAACTTGATGCTAAGATCCATCAGGAGTAGAGAGAGTTTCCTTTTCTCTCCCAAAATGTTGTGCTAAATCTGCCCCTTACTTCATCACAGTTCTCTGCTGTGCATTTGTTCATTTTCATTGTGGAGGAAATAAAATGCAGGAAGATGAAGATAACACAAGAATGCTGCAGATCACTGGGAAATTGTGGGGGCGGAGGACGGGTGCAGATTTCTGCACATATGCAAAATGAGAAACAGATCAGAATAGCACGTCAAAAAACGAAGATAAATTAAATTGTTTAATGTGGATACTGGGTTCTAGCCTATAATTAACAGCTACACGAAACCATGAATGAGATTGCTAATAACAAGGCCCACCTGTACCTTTCGTAATCTGCTTATAGAGTTTAACCTACTTTCATTTGGTAGTGTTTTCAGTAAAAACAACAATGTTAAATACGGGAATAAGGAAATGCTCACCAATGCGTTTCTGGTTATCGTATAGAATTAATTAATATTCTCCTATCTATTGTGGGAGTTTTACCTTGCCTCAGTGTACTAACAGAATTCTGCCATTTGGATTTAGATGATTCTTATTTGAAGATGAGAAAATAACAGATAATTGTTTCTTTGTATTCTAAAAAGTACCAACCTATTGAAGTGTAGTGAATCAAGCTTTAAAGTGAAGAATATGGAATTAAAATTTTACTTCTAGCTAGTTATGCTTAATGGTGTTTTTATTAAGGTATCCTACTGTCACATTGGTTTCAGTCAATGGCAAACCTGATGAATTTTTAAAAAATATGTCCCAAAGGATTGGGAATCCTCCAGTACAAATTTGGACAGGCAAGAAAGACTTTTAGAAGACGGTCTTGTGGCATGAGGAATATGGTTGTGTTTATAAACAAGGATCCTTCTACCTCTCGATTTAACTACATTGCCTACCTTTAGCCATGTAACCAATATTCTTAAGCATGATATTTCTATTAAAAAGGGGAGAGATCCTTTTAACATTCATTAAATTCCATCGTTTATAAGAAATGGTTAAAGAATTAATGAACTAGTAAAGCTTAATAATTCTTAGCCACTTATATCTATACGTTACAATATCACAGCCCCTGAATTATATACACATGCCATAGATAATCTTCTAAGGCTATCATTCTCATGGGTTACCCAATTAAAGATTTCTTGTTATTTTTACTCACCAAACAATCCAGCTGAGAGACAGGACTTTTGTTTCCTGGATGACTGATATCCCAGACCTTGACACATCCTTTTCCACCAGTATACACGTGCCTTGTTGGATTGCTAATAGTAACTGCACATACCACTTCCCCGTGGTTTAGAGTGTTAATCTGCCGAGCATGACGTGGAATTCCTGGCCCAATGAGGGCATCAGGAGGGAAAGGTACAGGTTGCATCTGACCATCAGCGCTTACATGAAATGAGTACGCTCTAGGTTAAGCAGAGAGAAATCCTGTTTTAATTACTCATCTACTGACCGATGACAACTTTCTGAACATGGTTAACGCTAATGTACAGTTTGTAAACTACATAATGTTATACTGTTATATTTTAGGTTGTTGCTGAGTGGAAAAGATATTTTTATTTTGAATGGAACACAAGGCAGCTTGGGGCATTCTATACAGTCAGGGAAATAGTAACCTGCAAATAATTTATCAACAAGTTTCTGTAAATGTTCTTTCAGGGGAAGAGCATTCCAGTGCTTAAAATTGCTATGTTTAAGGTATCATGTGTTGAAGTCCTTAGATAAAACTTTATTAAAGTTGAACTAGAGCCGTGTTGGTGAACCTTTTCAGCACCACGTCCCGAAATGGGAGCATGTGTGCATGTGTGCATTGGAAACCGGAAGAGCAGCTGCCCGGCACACACATGCACGCTGGGTGGTTGCTCTTCCAGTTTCCAGCACTCCCGTGCGCATGAAGGCAACCTGGCCGGCACGCCGGAACCTGGAAAAGCAATGGGCAACAGCTCTGTGTGCCACTTCCGGCATGTGTGCCATAGATTCACCATCATGTATCTAGAGCATACTGTAAGGAAATGTATAGTTAATAGATACAATGTCCACATGGAAATCTAATTTAGGATAGTGAAGATAGCTCACAAATGTCTTCCTTGAAACAGAAACCTGCCTCCTTTTTTGCAGAAAAAGAAAGTAAACTTAATTAAAATATGTCAAGGAAATGGTACTTAGTGCTACTGTATATAAAAGTTATGGATTAAAATGTCTATCAATTCCAACCATTGCTCATACTGGCTGGAGATAATATCAACTGCCGTCCAAAACAGCTGGAGGGTTTTACATTGCCTGTTCTTTATTTTCAGATAAATAAATACTATCATATAGTCTACTGAGTGATTGAAAATGTAATCACATTATAAAAAAATATCTGAAAGGACTTAAGCTACAAAGGCAAGAATTTGAGGAGATTAAACTATTCGCCAATGGCTGCCAAACTTCTACTTATAAAGGATCTAAGTCCTAAGTTACGAACTGAACATGGCAATTCTAATATTTCATGAATGGTATCATTCAGGATAGGTCAACTAAATATATTTTCTATATATAGATCTTTTCTACATATATGATCATCCTACACCCATTATATAACTGGGCAAGTCATTCTCCTTAGTCTTATTGGACTTTATTTAAGTTGCTGCTTGCTTTCACAAGAAGAGCTCAAATAATTATACTAGATTTGTTGTGTACTTTTCTCTTGCCGAGAAGTGAAGGAGGTGAAAACTCTATACTTTATTTCTATAATTGTTTCTCTTAACAACCAAGCTAGTTACAGTAGGTCAGCTAGTCAATTTCCTCAAAGATCCATTTGTGCGCTATGATATCATAATTCTTTTTCGGTATTTTCAATCAAACAGAACACTCCAGTGTTCTTTTGTGCAACGTTGTTGTTTATGGAATCCAGTGAGTCTGCATTTCATCGCAGGGCTTCTTTTGTGCACAAAGGAATTATTTTTAAAACAGAGGGGCAAAACACTAAAGACATGCACACCACAGAGCCTTTTGTAATTTGTCTTTCTGTGCCAAGCAGAGTTACCTTAGTCCAGCATGCCCCATTGCAGAAACATAACCCCTTCCCTATGCCCTTCTTTTATCCACGGCATCTGATACCCTTGGCATATAGTCTCCTACAGGAAAAACTGCCAAATAGGCTTTTAAGATTAAAAGGAGGATTAACCACCCTCTGCCACACATGGAATTCAGTATCGAGAGGAAGCAAAGGGAACAAAAGCTTAATAATATGATTGAGTTAGTGTGTTTAACACTCACGGTTTTCCTCCTGGGATGCCTGTCAGATTCGGAGGAATGCCTGGGACTCGCATATGATGATGTGGATCAAAACCAACCTGGAGTTTTCCCACAAACAGAACAAAGAAAGTTTTAAGCATTAATGGGAAATGCTGGAACGCTGCTTTTCAGTCTTACATCAAACGTTACTATGGAGAGCCTTCTACAAAGATTAAAAACCATACTGGACTGTGCCAAGGTCCACAATTCAACATCCTGTTTCTAAAACTAGCCACTCATTTGCTTCAAAGAGACTTTCCACCTCATCAAATAATATTCAGAGACACAGGGCCTCTGAAGATAGTGGCAAGGAAATCCTTTAAGGCATCAATTATCAGGAAAGCGGTAAACAGAAGTAGAAAGCAGCCCTGGAGAGATTAACTGAAATTCAAAATTCTATCCATTCGATAGATGCCTGGGAAAATAAAAATGGAACAACATTTATCTGGTGCCTGGAAAACTTGATGTACCAGGTGAGCCTCTACGGGAAGTGTTACAAGTGGGAGGAAGGTCCTGTGTCACCAGTCAGCTGGGAAGGTTGCAAATGGGGATCTCATGACTCTGGGATGTTGCAACCCTTGTAAAGACATGCCAGTTGCCAAGGAGGAAAATTTTGATGACATGACCATGGAGATGTTGTAATGGTCATAGGTGCGGGATCTCATCATATGTGACTATTTTCAGTGCCATTGTAACTTTGAACAATTGCTTAATGAACTGTTGTAAATCGAGGATTACCTGTATTCAAAACTTTCATAATCTGGACAAAGAATGCAATGTCCACCTTTCCCCCCCATCCCCACCCCCCTTAATCAGTCCCTAGATAAGCACAAAGGTTGACAAGTGGTAACTCATGCAATCACAATGTATTGCCCGGCAGAGAAATAGACAAATACTTCTGAATTGCAGTCACTGAAATTAAGTCATTATAATGTCCAGAGTCCTCCACTGGTATAGATTGTCTCTAACACAAAAAATACTATCAGCAACCATTATCTTAAATAATGCCAAGTAAATCCCATTTCTCAATGAACACTTCAATTTTAACCCAGCAAACAGTGAAGTCTTTATAAGCCACCATCTTATTGAAAACAAGCTCCTCCCAGCATAATCACCTTTTACTATTGTATAATATGCATGAAACGTACCACTGGAGATCTTCCATAGGCGGCTGCAGCAGCGGCAGCTGCGGCTGCTGCACTCATCTGAGGAGAGATGTTATGCAAACCCGCATATGCGGCTCCAGGACTGGTCAGTTCACCATTCATTCCAGCATGGGGTACTATTCCAAACGGGGCAGGATAAGGGCACGGGACTGCCATGGGTGTTCTTAATCCTGAAGCTACAAAAATTAAGAAACGGGAGAAAAGGAAAGACTATTTAGAAATCATATCATAAGAAAATGCTGGACTGAGGAAAGGGAAATTCAGATGGGTAAGAAAAGAAAAACAAGCTGTACATTACAAGGATTCTGTACTGGATTATCTCAGTTTTTAGAGGGCTAAAATAGAGCGTCATAATTCCTTTGCAAATTTACTCAAAGAGATTCTTCCCAAGTTCTGCATGATTGAAGAGGTCCCAAATAAAATTGAAGGAATTGGACCTAGGATCACGGAACTGGAAGAAGCTATTTCAGTTCAGTGGAGGAATTCAAATGAAGAAATCCCTGCCTGGCGGCTATCTAGTCTTCTACCTATGCAGAAGAATGAAGTTCACCACCTCCCTAGTCAACGGTTTCCCCTATTGACTTGCTTTTTCTGTTAAAAAGTATTACCTTACATTCGACTGATATCTGTCTTCTTGTAACTAAAAACTATAATTTCATCATCAATCAGACCTGGTGCTATTTAATGTAACATTCTTTTAGGAATGAAAAGAATGATAACATATTCCTGCTTGGTCTTTTCAAAACTGAAGATACTCATTTTCTCCCTTTCTTATTAAATGGCTTAATTTCCAGGCTTTTGATCCTTTTTGTTACTCTTTTTTAAACTTTGTTTGAACCCTTTTTTAAGATGAGGTTTCCCAAATCCCTATCAATCCTTTGACCACTGCTAAGTGGGACACATTTTTCTTGGCAGAAGAAAAAGAACCGTATTTCATTACCTGTTAGTATTTTAACATTGAGTAGTTGGTACACTGATTTTTTTCTTTTCTTTTTCTTTTTCAAATAAATTGACCCCCCCCCCTTTTTTAAAAACATTTCTTTTGTAGTTCTCAACAACCTACACTAATCTCAACATACATTCTCAGTAGTCCTTCTGACACCTTTGTGCTGTGAGGTACCTGGTATTTTCTTGAGGTATAGTTTGTTTTATTCTATTTTCAGATAGCACATCCTAAAATAACGCAGCTAGACTGACTCCTATTTTTTCCCTTGGATTTTTTAATTTAAACATATAGATCCTTTTAAAGGACTTTCACGCATCCTATTAGCTTTCTTCCCTGAAATCATACATATTGCTAACAATATTGGAGTTTATCCTTCCAATTAAAAATGTCATATTCATAAACAAAAGAAATGTTGACTCAAATGTGCTTTTTATTTTTTTTCAAAAGGCAACTGGACTGTTTTTTATTTGAGGAAGAAGAAGATGTTTTGCTTGTTATCCAAGAAGCTTCATCAGTTGTGTAAGAAGCAAAATGTCTTCTTCCTCAAATAAAAAACAGTCCAGGTGCCCTTTGGAAAAAAAAATGTCTACAGACATTTCCTATGTTGAGTGCAAATAGCACATTGTTTTTTTACACAGAGTTATTCAGACACAATTTTTCTCCTATAATGTGGAGTAGAAAGACTAATCCTGTTTTTGAACAAGTTTGTAAGAAATATCCCTGTCTAGGTGTATTTCACTCCTCCCCAATCGGATTCCCTCCAATGTGTTGCGTTACAGCTCATATAATCTTCAATCATAATGGTAGTTAGCTATGCTGATTACAGATTACAGAAGTTGTAGATCAGCCCATTTGGACAATGTCAGACTAGAAAAACCAGATGAGACTTGCCCAAGATGAGGTAGCAAATCTAAGGAAGACATAAAATCTGACCCTAGATCTACATTCAATACTCTACAGTTGTGTGCATGCAACACGCAGCATATACTTGACAGACAAATCTACCCTTTCCCCTCTCCAATTACATTTACTAACCTAATGGATCAACTCCTGGTGGCTTTCCAGGAACAGGCCTTAATCCAGGTGTAGAATTGCTTCCGGGTGTTGGAGCATCAGTACGTGGAGTTGGGGTATTTGATTTAGACACAGGGGTGGTGGATTTCTCATTCTGATATGGAAAGAAGCAGATTTTATGCAAAAAATCACAGTGAATGAAACTTGCACGAGTTGATTTTATTGAGATCTACATTGGTGTACTTTTTAGTAGGCATTAAAACAGGGAACACATGTATGATGTAGCACTTCTTTGGCTATTATAATGAATACTAAACCATTGCATTATTTGAACCAAAGAATTTTGTTATTTCATACATTTCCTTGCCACTCGCCATCCAGAACATGCCAAGTTGAATGATTGCCCAAAGAACAGAATAAAGAACAGAACTAATGAACAATATTTCACTTAAAGAACAGAACAGAGCAAACAATATTTCATTTAACAAAATGCAGGATATTGTATTATCCAATAGCAGTCCAACCTGCAGTTGGTTGTGCTAACAATAGAGTTCAAGCAAATTGAATGATAGAAGCTGAGACAGTATTGAGAAATAGCAGTGGTTGTTTGAATCTAAATCTGCAAAATATTAATGGCATATTACGCTCATGAGAATTCAGTCTTATTTACTGTTAAAATGTAATATGAAACTAATAATATTCAAACATCAGCTTTTTCTAAATACTCATAATGTGAAAAATCCCTTTACCTAATTTATAAACTAGAACATGGTATTATAACCACACAACATAACCAAAACAAGCAATACCTTTAAAACTCCTGTATTAGATTACTTCAGTTCTTTAGATTGTCACAATTCCTTTGCATATTTGCTTCACAGATTATGCATATTTACCTAGAGCCTATCTAAAACTGAATAAAATGAGACATAGAATCACAGAATTGGAAGACGCCTTTAAAGCTCCACGTAGCAGTTAAATGAAGGCATCCCTGCTGGATGGATATCCAACCTCTGCTTGAAATTGTTCAGCAGAAAGAAGTTTAACAATCTTCCTAATTACGGTATATGCTATGTTTATAGTCAACTCTTTTTATTAGAGTTGAATTTTTTCTTTACATTAAATAGGAATCCATCTTCTGTATTTTTGAATTTGTAAGAAAAAAATAGTCTAACCTTAGAAAAAGTTAAGGATTTTAGTGATTTGCCTAAGTCTATCCTATTAATTTCCTGAAATTGCAACAGTGTTGCTTATCTCCTGGTTGAGACCACCAGCCCTATACTCTTTTTTTAGGGGGTGGCAGGGGGATTACTGGCGACTGCCTAGACAAGTCCCTGCAATTTTCTTGGCAAGGTTTTTTGGAAGTAGTTTACCATTGTCTCCTTCCTAGGGCTGAGAAAGAGTGGCTGGCACACAATCACCCAAACTGGCTTTGTGCCTAGTGCAGGATCAGATCTTACATTCTTTCAATTTCTAACTTGGTATTTTAACCTCTACACAAAACCAGCTTTCTTCTATTATTAACTCAATTTTCAAGCAAAATATTATTGGGTCAAATTTGAAAATGCTGGATTACCAAAATTCATGTAACAAGCATTATTTGAAGTATATGCCAGAAGATGACAACAGCAAGACATTTCTGCATAATTACAGAAAAACAGGGCTGTATCCTTTGTGTTATTAAGAGTTAAACATGACTTGGAGAAGTTCCTTTAATAATTAAGCGTGTTACAGGTTCAAAAAAAAAAAAAAAGTTGAATGCTACCTGAAATTTATGTTTGACCCTCCTTAGAGTGTGTGACAATTTTGTAACATCAAAATTACATATGGTCCTCCAAACACTTTTAAAAACTGCCACCAAAAGACTTTAAAAACTGCCACTAAATTGCACGCCTCAGTCTTAAATATTCATGTGAAAATCTTAGGTGAAGAGACTAGTTGTGAGGAAATTGTAGCAGATCGAGATCCTAGAAAAACAACTAGTCGCTCTCATGCAAGTTCATATACATACACAGAATATCAATCAAAGGAAGTCAGTACTGTTCTCGGTTTGCAAGCAGCCTTTCTCTAAATTGTGACTTGTGCAAGAAAAGAAAGGCTATTGTAAATGACATATTATTTCTTAGGCAGAATATGACTGTAGCTGAATATAGCCAAGTAACACAAATAAAGCCAAGAACCAAATCACAACCAAGCAGGAAGCTAAAATTACTGTAAATTGTCATTTCAAAATAAAATAAAATAAGGTTCAAAGAACCCCTGTGTACTCTTATTTATTCACAGAATAGCAAGCTTCCTGACAGGAAAAAAATACAATAAAAGATAGATACATTATTTTCAGACCTGGATAGCTGAATAAATACTTTCTATCACTCCAAAAGATCCTGAGGTGCAAAATATATTTTTTGGGTAGAAATATATTGAACTTAGTGTTATATTATGATGTACTACTGCGACACATCTCATTATCTTCCACCTCAAGTTAGATACCCAACAGTGCACACACAGTTATGAAGATGAATGTGGATTGTACAGTCACTTACAAGGCTAAGTTCTTTGGATTTGGAAGAAGGAGTGCTGCTTGAAGATGCTATTGAGGCTGGGCTAATTGGTGCATCTTTCTTGAGTAGGCGAGCCTTGTCCAAGCCGTTCTCCCTTGGAGAATGTGCTGGGCTTCCTCGTGGAGATGACGGATCCTAAAAAAGAAGCGTAATGATTATCAAGGTCTCCTACTTGTTCCAGTGAATAACTTATGGCTCTTTTGTGATTGCATCCCATAGTGAAGTTCATGAATGGTATACTATATTATCCTGCCTGCATAAATCATTATTCACAAAGAAATCATACTTCCATCTCAAGATATGGATTAATACAATGATACCTTTTTACTACAGCAAAGCAAAACTATTTTTATATTTTATTTGTTATATTGATTCACCACCAATCTCAGAAAAGGCGAGTCTGGGTGGCTTACAAAGTTAAAAGCAGTAAACCATAAAAATATATGTAGCAATAAAAGTTTAGTGATGGTAAAAAGATGGGGGGGGGAAACAAGGTGTGCAGGGAGTGAAGTAGGATCTGCTATTAGTGTATCAGCCACCTGCAGTGTAGCACTCCCCCATTTTCTAAGCATCCTCAATGTTACCTGAGGAATATATGCAATAAATTATGCCTCCCAAAGTAAAATTGCACATACCTCATTGGATACATCAACCACCAAGTTATCATCACTTTTTTCACCATCACTATCCTGCATTGAAGAAGAAAACAGCTAAGCACCCAAAAACACTTGCTTGTCAAAACTATACTTTTCATTTAAATATCAAAAGCTCTAGAAATGCAATGCAAAATGGGGAACAACATCAGTTGGGACTTTTTAAAACTCATTTTAATCCATATAGCTGCCCTTGGGCTGTAATACAACAAGCCACAGTTATATTTTTAAATATTCGGTTAGTAGATCATTGCTTCTGGAGTAATACAGACTAGACGATGAATCAAAATTTGGATGAGCTTATAAAAAAGGAGCTTGGGAACACCAATCTCATCAGATTGCTCGTCAGGAATTTTAAGCTGGCAATGAGTATCCCTCCCTTTCTAATTTAGCATGTTATGTTTCTGGAAGTTGCAACTGGATGTTGCAAATGCAGGATCTGAATAGATAACTGAGTAAAGAACAGGAATCAGTCAGTGCTTATATTATAACAAAATATTTACTTGTTTGGCAGACGTAATGGTATTGGCTAAACACTTTAGAACCTGATTATCTGAGAGATCACCTCTCTCATCGCAAACTTCTCTGAATGTTGATATCTGCAGAAAGACCTTTCTGGATAGAAAAAAGCTTGTCTATCTGGTGTGCGGGAGAGGACTTCCTATTGCATCACTCCTAGGTTATAGAACAATTTTCTTGAGAAATGCATTTGGCATTTAAAAATTTTTTTATAAAAATTAGCCCCAACATTTAGAAGATCAGTAAATATACATTTATTTTAGTCTGTTAATTGTGGGATACTTTTAATATCAGGTTTTTGTTATTTTTTAAAAAATAACTGCTCGCTTAAACAGAAAGGCAGAATATAAATTTAAGGTGTATAAAAGAAATGCAACAGCTTTAGGAAAGTTTGCATATTTGTCGAAGAGAGTACTGGGAGATGGTACCATTTCCATTTTGGCATATTGTTTCAACATGGAAGGCATCTGTGTTGAGGAGGAAAGCCAAGCTTGTTATATTTTCTTTTTCCTGACCTAAGTTCAGCTGAGAAGGGTTTTTGGAGACAAAAGACAGGATCCCTTTGTGACTGTACAGAACAGCCTAAAACTCTTTGGGGTGAAATTGGTGCATCCTTATCGGCAGTATAAAATAACAAATAATAGGGAAAAATATACTATACATGGTTTTACTCACATAACGAGTTGCTATCTCTTTTTCTTCTGTCTTCTGTTTTTTACTTTCAGAAGAGTAATCTGTTGAGTTTCTGTGCTTCTCGGAGGCTCTAAAACTTGCTGATGGAGATACAGATGAGCTCTAAAATGAGAGGGAAAGAGAAGGAAAGATGACTGATGGCCCAGTCTTCCAGCTTTGCTTATATCACACCCCGATGAGAGAACAAAAGCTATGCCAGCATGGACAGAGCAATCTACGCCTTTCTAAGATAAGCAGATATAAATGATCTCTCCATGAGAGCTGCTCCTGAATCAACACAGCAGCAACAAAAATGCTAGTCTACCACTTCAGAATCTGGTTGCAGTTACCAACAGAGCCATCTGACTTTTATTGAAAGGAATAGGCTGCTGGCGTGCTTACATTACTTGAAAAGTAGACCTGCAACACAACATGGCAAAGTGAAACCATTTCTTGTGAACAGATCTCTGAAAGGAAACGTTTCCAGGTTATCTTTGCAATAAGCTAGTAAGACCGGTTACTAGAGTCCCCAGAGGATGCAATTCCTAATAGGCATCATAGTTTTCTGATGTCAATGGAAAAAAAAACTAGGCTAGTTACTTTTCAAGTAGCCACTTTTCAGTTTGTTACATGAAAGATAAAGCTGGGGTACTTCTGCCCCAGCAGATCCATGTGCTGGTGCAGGTATTTTGTGTTTTGGTTTCAGTACAAAATCTGAGAGAAAACACTATTTCCTCTGATGTGTGAATGCTGCACAAAAGTTAGTGCCACAATACATACACACACAATCCCCCCCCAGCCAAAACCCCACACTGAAATGCTTATAGACCCACAAACACACACAAGCACATACACAAACTATCCAGCAAACTATATCATAATAATACCATACTAGCATTAGTAAATTTTCTGCAAGATTCAGGACACGTATGAAGGAAATAAAGAAAGAATTGGAACTTATATTTGTTTAAAAAGGACCACATCTACTCTGACGTGGATTATTGAAAAACAATTAATCAGAGATTCATTGGGTTGCAAAGCACAATTTCAGATCCTTCACTCAGTGGAATGGAATCAAAATCAAAGCCTCCCTAAGAGGTGACTATCTATCTACCTTTTCCATGACCTTCTAGTGAAAGGAGTGCACCCCTCCTCTCTAAACAAATTGGTTTCGTGGTGAAACTGTTCCTTCTTCTAACTTAATTGCATTATTCTGCACTCTGCACTTCATAAAACAGAGAACAGTATGTGATAGACATCCTCCAATGTAGAAATACAAAACAATCTGTTTAACTCAGCCAAAATTAACTTTATAGTTACTAGTGAACCTTTCTGAATAATTAAAAAGTAAGGACATAACTAACATTAGATTGGTGGAAGAAAATGATGCAGTCAATATTTTTTGCAACTTTTTGTGTTCCAAGTCCTTGATTACATTTCCTTCATGTAAGAATATCATGCCTGTTCAAACTTTGCAACAAAGATATCAAAAACTAAACACTAACAATGTATTGTTTGTGCAAAGAAACATGAGATGGATACAGAAAGTGTGAATCTGAATATATATCCTATGATTCATGTTTTAGCATTAGTTGACAGAAGCGATTTCCAAGTGGTCTGGTCCTAGGCTGCACCAGTAACGTAACGTAAATAAAAACATAGATTGGACCATAAAAATTACATCAGAAACATACAATTTTGGCGTACCTCTTAATAACTATGATTTATGTATATTCCATTTTCCATTCCTAGATAATAGCTTTATTTCCCCCATCCTTGTTATTTCTTAATATTATATTGAGAGAGTTTGATTAAAGAAGGGATCAATAGAAAGATGTTTTAAGCTTCCTTTATCTATAAGAAGAAACATTTAGAAGCAGGGCCAGTTCCTTCTATCCCAGTGCTATTAAAATCTGTAGGTTTTTTACACATCTTTATGCAAATTGTCTTATGCATGTCTTAAAAATACCCTTGCTCCATTTATATTCATTGTACAAATGGAGAGAAGACAGATTATAATTTGAATTCAATTCACTATGACTCATCTCTCTCTTTCCCTTTGTAATTGGCTGCAATAAAGGAGAAAACTAATTACTGAATGACAATTAGAATGATGGTTTAAGAGCCAAGAGTAAACTACCACTCTGATTTCAACCCAAGTATTTATTTTCATAAATTTGAAATAACATAGATATATTTTTCTCAATCTAGTTAGCTTCACTGCTACAAAGAGTGTTGCGATCTCTGATTGTGGTGCTTAATAAAATTATAATTTAGAACACCCTACTAGTGTGATAAAGTAGCTAATTATGATTAGCTGTTTAAAGGATGAGCTGCACACTGTGCCAATCTATGCTGCTCAGTAGCTTAACAATTTGGAACATGTGTAGACAAATATGTATTTGCAAGGAGTGCTCTTGTTATGGTACCTGAAGCCTGACCTTGATATCAGAGTATAATAAGCAGAGAGAGACAGTTCTGAGAAAAAGAAAATCATTTTAAAATGAGCATATTAGCTTTCTGATGAGTTCAGAAAGCCAGGCTGGGAGTGTCTAAGAGAAGATTGCGTGCATTTGAATTTTGAGAGAAGTAGTATGACAATTATATCATTACCATTTTTATTTTTTATTTTTTTGTTTCTAAGACATGGCACACAAATAGGAGAAGAGCGGTAGAGCTGGGGGGAAGAGAATGTGGAGTAAAACGCATCATCAGTTTAGAGCAGGGGTCTCCAAATTTGGCAACTTTAAGACTCGTGGACCAACTCCCAGAATTCCTCAGCCAGCCAGCCAAGTCTTAAACTTTCCAGGTTTAGAGTCCTTGCATTGCCAGAAGAGAACCACATCCAGCCCCCCTGAATTCCCTCGATCTTAATCTAGCACTAGTTTAGCGCTGATGGTTAGTTGAGCAGATACTTGTGTATAGGCTTCAATAAATCATTTATGCTGCAATCTGCACAAATGGAGTTTTGTGCCTCCACTTGATTTCTCTATGCAGTAGGTATGAAGTTATATCAAGAAACCTGAGTGACATCAATTATTGACAGGAAGGATAGCCACACTAGTTCTGGAATCATGAATTCTACTTGTCAGGCTACAATTTAATACTGTAGTGAAAATAATGTTGTTTCCAGATACACAGGAGCTAATTTTAAATACAGAGCAAAGCAATGCTAAACCACTCCTATATTTTAGCAAGAGAACCATATGGGTAGACAGTATGAAGTGACTGACAATATAAAGATAGTCCTCGACTTACAATAGTTCATTTAGTGACCGTTCAAAGTTACAGTGGCACTGAAAAAGTGATTTATGACCGTTTTTCACACTTATGACCATTGCAGCATCTCCATGGTCACATCATCAAAATTTGGATGCTTGGCAAGTGACACATATTTATAATGGCTACAGTGTTCTGGGATCATGTGATCCCCTTTTGCGATCTTCTGACAAGCAAAGTCAATGGGGAAACCAAATCCACTTAACAACCATGTTACTAATTTAAGAACTGCAGTGATTCACTTAATAACTGTTGCAAGAAAGGTCGTAAAATGGAGCAAAGTCTCTTAACAAATGTCTCGGTTAGCAATAGAAATTTTGGGCTCAATTGTGATTGTGGGTCCAGATGCTGGATTATAGGTTCCAAAGTCAGATGGAGTTCAATATGTTACGGAAGAAGAATTAAGGATCTTTTGATGAAGTTTATGACAGGGTCAAATTAACCTCTTTCCAACATCTAGTTGCTGATGTGCCATTTGAGAAATAAAAATCTGAAGCTGCAAAAACAGAAACAGAGTGGGAATATGAGAAAGTTCAACACAGCGGAAGAAGAAATGAATTAATGACATTTTCGGCATCAGCAAATTGAAATGGACTGGAACTGGACACTTTCAGTCAGAAGATCATTTTTGTGTAACAATTATCCAAGGTTTTCCTCTGACCACTGATACAGAAGAAAAAAATGTTTTAAAGTTACTTAAATTCAGTCTGAAATTGACAGAACATCTAACCAAGATGTGCTGCTTGTGATTAGAGACCAGAATTGTCAAAATTGGAAATAGTAAGAAGGAAAACGTTATTGGACAGTGTAGATTTGGACAGTGTAGATTTGAATTGGGTGAACAACGCATCTGTTTCAGTTTCAGTCACCAAAATGACACCTCCTAGACACAGCCAGCACTAGATAAGTTACCCCAAAATAAATTACATTAACTGTATTGTTTAGAATGAACTAAGGCTGGTGTGATCCAGTCCAAATCTGGCATGAAAACCTATTACGTTTTAACCTTAAACCATCACTATATTTCTTTGAAAAGTAAGTGTGAGGGACAAAAAGGTTATAAGAAGGTAATGTTATGAATACTACTTTGATTTCCTGAAAAAAAAGTGGGACAGAAAATTTTGATTGTAAATGCATCTCTCACTCTCTGTTTTATGAATTCCATGGAAGAAGGTTCATATACTATACTATATTGTAACTTAATATGAAACTGGCTGGTTTCAGATCTGGTTGATACAACAGAATGAACCTGAAGTAGCAAATTCTCATTTTTTAACTATCATGTGAGTGAAAACTCAAATATTGAAAAAAATATATAGACATCATGTTCCAAATACAAGAAATTGTAGTAAAATACACAACGATAGAAAGTGTCATATATCTTTATTTTAGGACTAACATTTTGTCCTAAAAATGTTCCATATTGAAAAATTACTGATTTTTTATAGTGTGCTGGAATTTCTGTAAATACACGTGTTTTTCCATTTAAAAATCATTTTTAAAATGAATTAGATTTTGACCATTGATATAGTACACAGTATTACTTGCTTCTACCTACAACATAATTTTTAACTTCATAGGCTAAGCTTAAACACTCCGAGAAGTTTCCACATTCCTTTAATTATTGCAATATGATTAATTAAATGCACTGCCATGACAAGAACTGTTTTCCGTTGTTTGAAAACACAGAAATATCTTTGTATTGTTATTTTAAAATGCTTTCTATATGCTGCTGGTGGGAAATGAATTAATTACTAAAAGAATTGAATTAGCAAAGATCATGTAGTATGCTGCTAGCAGACCTGTGGTTTAAGTACAAATCCCATTTCTCTCCCCCCCCATTT